TTGATTGTAAGAGGATACCGTAGAGATGTTGTAACTCTCTTCACGTAGTTCCAGAAAGATTCCTTCTTCAGACTGTAACTACCATACTGTCCATACGGGTTCATCTACCCTCTTTCATTTTTGTAGCATGACTAATTACATTCATTCTTTTTGCCGCCATTCCCATCAATGGCATTTGTTGTCTCATTACTAGTTCTTTCTTTACAAAGCTTATAAATGATAGTCCCATTTGGGATTAGCCAACATCACTCCTTTGGTTGACTGGGTTACATTTAATCTGGAATCTGATTTCTGAATTGTTGCTTTTCATCCTGTCCATTATGGTTTCTGCGGTCCAATTATCTAGCGTGCTCAATTGTCCACTTTCGATAATTCCTCTCGGATTTAGAATCAAATACTAGATATTTTGTCACTTAAATGTCACTTTGCAGGACTGGAAGCATCATTATTGACCTAAATTGTCAAAGAGTACAGAAGATTCAAAGATATCGGGCTGTGTGAATGTCTGCTGGTATGAACGCGCCCCTTCATTTCTTTGCTCACCGTTCATTTTATCCTAAAGTCATATGATGTTATCGTAGTTGCTGAATTTTGAGATGTTGGAGCCTTGGAGGTGACCAAGTTAGACCCACTCATTGCTTCAGGAGGTGTGGGAAAAACTATACTCAAAACTGCATTTAAGTAATTCAAGGCTTCAGAAATTTCAAATGGTCTTAGTTCAAACATGCCAATAACGGTTTAATAGTCAAAAACAATCTCTAAATTCTGCCGAAATAGCTGTCGTCGTAGCTCTTTTTTTTTTTTTTTTGAATAGTTTATGATTTAAGGGAGGAAAATATTTTTTAAAGTATTAGTGAGACTCAAAATTTAACTAATAAACTCAAACATTTTAACTGTTTGAAAGCGAAACTATTTGGATACAAAGGTTTAATTCATCATGGTTCAGTTTTATTAGTGAAAGCAATAAGAAAAATCAAATTTGAGAGGTACTGAAATTTTGAAGCTTTGGAGTTTGTCTAATTTTTTTTTTTTAACAGATTTTACAAGGGGTTGGGTTCAAACCCCAGCCCTGGGAGAGGGGAATGCATCATGAGTGGCTATTGCCACTTGACCCGAAGGGCTCGATGCAGAGTTTGTCTAATTTTAAAATGAATGAGAATTATTATGTCATATATCGTATATATAATAATTCAATTATTATACAAATTGATGTAAGATATTCTGTGACTCAAAGCAAACAGGAAAGAAAATACTGTGGCTTACATGTTAGTACAGTACCAATGTAATGGAGATTTTTGCTTGTACCACCATGTAAAACTGCCACACGATATGGACGGTTGGATCCTAAACAACCCCACCTCTTTGATTTTTTTTTTTTTTGGAACATAGTGGAAATTTGAAGAATAAAAAAATTTTTTCAAGCCGTTGATCAATTAAATTTAAAAATAAACTATTAAATTTAAAAAATTGATTCAAATCTTCTCTCTTTGATTGAATTTATAAAATTCATGTCATTGATTGGAAAAACCATCAAATCCAAAGGGAAAATCGCAGTACTACTGTGGGGTCAGAAATTGGAAGATAAAATTCTCCACTTTAAGCCATTTATCTATCATTAATCATGTTCATTTGAACATTTCACTATGTTAAAGTGATAAGGAAAATTATTTATGGGTGTAGGTAATTATGATTAAGATTTTTTTTTCATTCAATACCCCTCCATTTCAAAATAATTGTGATTTTTTAATTTTGAATTTATTTTAAATTAATTATTTTTTATTTT